AGTATTTTGGGTTCCAACTAAAGCTAGGAATAGCTTCTCTCCTGTCTGCAGGACAAAGCCATGCATCTGTCCAGTGTTCTGCTGACAGCTGCAGCCACGTGTCATCAGCTATCACCATGGCATTAATGTGCCCAGGAGCAGGACCAACTCCACAGCTTTTTCCACTTGCTGCCTCTCCAGCAGGGAATGTGCACCAGCCCTAGGACTGCTTCTGTGTTCACCACCAGGCTTCCTGACTGCAGGCTACTGACACCACAGGAAGTTTTGCCACAGGGGGAGAAACATACAGCATTGCCAAAGTAAACCCTGGTGTGACACAGGTTCCCTTTGATTCTAGGTGCTATATGTGGACACAATGATAACACATTCTTTATCTCCCCTGGGGAAGTGGAGTTTGTCACATTGCCTTAGTGGACCGGACAGCGTTTGCTTGACTTTTGGCTGTTGTTCATTGTTGACTTGACAGTGTGGAAATGTCCTCAGATAATACAATTTAAGCTGTTTGTTGAACTGTGCATCTACCCCAGGGGAAGGAATTTAATGTGGTATCAAAATAATAATGCTATATTGATTGGGACTTTTTCTAATTAGAAGAGGAACCCAGACTAGTGGAGCTGAAAGGGCACCTCTTGCCGATGGGACAATCACTGTGGGATGGCAGACTTGATCCAGACTCAAGTGATGGGGCCCAGTCCTTGGTGCTGTATCTCCTGGGTACTTCTTGCAGTGAAAAGGGGGCTCCCAGGACACTGAGCTCATTCTCATGTGTTCATGAAATAAGTGATTAGATAGTTACAGAACCTTCATTGCCCCAAAGTGGGGTGGTGATTTGGAAGGGAAGGCTAAGGAAGTCCTTCTGGCAGGAGTGTGTGGCAGGGACCAAGAGAACCAAGCCCTGGGGACATAGGGTTCACGGAGGGCCGCATACCAGGGTAAGTCCTTAAGGAGGTCCCAAGCCACAAACTCAGAACCTGTTCCAAGGACAGAGGTCAGTGTGGTGGGAGAGGGAATGCACCCCACTGGAGATGGTCCCCATCATGGAGCCTCAGGCAGACCCTGAGGCCCAAGTCTGCCATCTGGGCCAGGAGCTGGCATCCAAGCATGTACAAGGGGATATGGGTGCTACTTCCCACCCTTTAGGACCCTCTCACCTCATACCACCCCTGCCCAGCCGCAGGGGTCTCCCACTAGGGGCTGTAGCCTGAAGACTTGGCTCCAAGGGCAATGTCATACAGCAGATGGCATTAAGCAGGGGATCTTCTGATGGGGAGCTCATCCTGGAAGAGCACAAGTGCGATACCAGGTAGGCAGTAGGACCAGGCAAGAAGCTATGACATGGAGCAGAGATCGGCGGTAGTCTGAGGATAGGGCTGCTGGGAATGTGGTTCTCCACAGCCCTGGGAAGCCAGGCCACTGGGCTGAGACCTCTTACATCTGGCCTCCCATCAGAGAGTCTGTTTCTCTCATTCTAAGCCACCAAGTCATGGTTCTGGGATGTGGTGATGGCCCTGGACACAGGTGTAGCCAGGGATGAGGAAGTGGGGGAAAGTCAACATTCCTGTCAGCCTCTGTGTCACTGGAGCCCCAGGGTAGCTGAGTGGCAGAGGAACCATGTGTAGAAGGGTGAAGCTATGGGTGAAGGTGGCCATTCCAGCTTCAGTCCAAGGCCTAGGAGATACGGGTGTTCCAGAATCTGGTTCCTGTCATGCCTGCTTTGCCTTAGAGTGATTTCTTTTACTCAAGACCAGAAAGCACATGGTGGGAACAAGGACCATTCTCTGTTTAATTCAGGGGTCACAGGGATCAGATGGAGAAACGTGGGACTCAGGCTTGCCCTTGCCATGTCCGCTCTGCTTGCTCATGTGGACTGGGAGATGTCAGGACCTTGCTCACATCCTGGTGCCCGGAAGGACGAGCACACCTTGTGACTCATCAGGGGCTGAGGCTGGCGGAAGTTGTCCACCATTGCTGCCTCTTCTTCACCCTTGGCAGAGAACAGCAGTGTGCGGAACGAAGACAGCTGCAATAGAGAGCTACCAGAGTGATCGTGGCACTGGTGTCCCTGTGTCCTGGTGCCTACGCCTGCAGTGAGGCAGGGTGGCCCCCCAGACCCACAGAAGAGGGCAGCTCTGCCTTGGTCTTTAGGGCCACTTGGTCTGGAGAAGCCATGAGGTCTCCAGCAGCCCTTGGACTTCTCAGGTCACTCACAGAGGCCAGGAGAAAGCATATATGACTATGGTTTTCTTAATAACTTGGTGACACGAGTTTTGGAGCTATTTGTTGCATGGCAACTGGTAACTAATAAGATAAGCCCTGTATAACCACAGTTCTGTGTCCTCAGAGTCAACCAATTGAAGATGGAAAATATTCTGCCCCAAAAAATTCTGTGCTGGATGCACACAGACTCCCCCCCTCCATCATTATTTCCTAAGCACTGCAACAATCATTTATATAGAATTTTTACTGTACTAGGTATTAAAAGTTATCTAGGGAGGGCCAGGGAGAGAGCTCAGTGACATAAGTGCCTACCTGGCAAGCACAAGGTCCCCTGGTACTGCGGGGGGAAAAAAGTCATCTAGGGATGATTTAAAGTATCTGGGAAGATGTGTGTAGGTTAGATACAAATACTACTCCTTTTTCTTCTTTTTTTTTCAGCACTGAGGATCAAACTGAGGGGTACTGAGCTACACCCCATCCCTTTTTATTCTTTGAGAGTCTCATAAAGTTACCCAGACAGGACTTGAACTAGTACTCCTGCCTCAGCCCCCTGAGAAGCTAGGATGACTGGTGCATGCCCCTAGCACGTGCCATTTCTAAGGGGCTTTTGAGCATCTGTGGATTTGATATCTGCAGTGGTCTGAAGCCAGGCCTCCAGGCATGCTGAGAGACAAACACACCCCAAACGCCAGAGCAGCCTCTGCTCTACTTTTCATGCTCACTTTCCCATGTGTCCGCCTTGTGCCAGAGAACTCCACTGCTCACAGTTCACCAGCTTCAGCACAGCACCACATGTGCCTCCCATGCCCAGGGTGAACTGGTCCACCAGGACACGGGTGGTGCTGAGGCTGGCATCCAGAGCACAGGGTCCATGTCAGGCACTTGGGAGCCCTCTACTCTGGGGTCCACGGTGAAATCCTCCTGTGCCCAGAGGGACACACAGCCAGCCAGCCAAGCACAGTGGCGTACTCTGCTCTATGGCCTTCCTGCCAAACAGCCATGCCCTGAGGCCTGGGAGATGTCAGGACCTTGCTCACATCTTGGTGCCCAGAAGGGCAAGTGCACTTTGCGGCTCAGACCTGACATGTATGGCCACCTGTGACAAGTGAGTCTTCTGAGAGATGGAGGAAGTTTTAGCAACCAAGAGCCATTTCCCACCTGAGCCCTTCCTCATACTTGCTCTGATGGGGAGAGTGCAGGTAATCTGTGCTTTGCACCTCAACATGTCACCTGGCCCAGAAGGTGTCATCATCCGTGCCTGTGCTTCCCATAGAAGCTGATGCCAGATGGAGCCCTGGAGATGATTAGCACTAAGCATATGAACTAGTGCTGTCTGTCCCAGCAGTGGAGGGAACAGTCAGTTACACCAGCATCGCCCCGGGTTCTACACTGCCTTAGACAGGATTTTTACAGATCCTCAGGATTCCTAGCAAGCAGTAGCTTTGAATGTGCTGTGCAGTTGGCTGGACTCTGGGCCCAGCCTAATTCCCAGCCCCAGACTTCCATAAACCCACTGGAGCCTCAGAGCCTCCCCACCCCACCATGGGCCACAAAAAAGCTTTCCATGAGCTGTGGCATCTCAAGTGGCTTATTACACAACCCCGAAGCCAGTGCTGATTGATGTAACCCATCTGGGCTATTCCCTGGGCACACACTCTTTTATAACTGCTGGTGGAGCTTGTGAGGGACCCTCTGCCATCTTCATTTTGTACTATTCTACCACTCAAAGAAGTGGGTCAGAGTCTAAAATCGGCTCTTCCACCTCAACAAACGGACTTCTCTTCTATAGGGCCTAGTGCATGTCAAACAAGCACTCTACCCCTCTACTCAGAGGCCACTTACCTGGCTGGGGGCCACCTCGATGGGCCTCTTATGGATGATCCAGGTGACTGACTCAGCGAGGGGCGGGGTGGTAAGGGAGCCAGCATAGGTCCAGTAGTCCCGGCAGGCAGGCAGCAGACAGGAGGGGTCAAAGGGGCTCAGGGCCACCTGTGTGTCCTGAGATCAAGGGCCGTGGTGGTCAGCCTGAGCCATGAGGGCCAGGAGAGCCAAGGCCTCAGACTCACATGGACAGATTCTGAGCCTCCTCTGCCACACTCAAAGCAGTAACACAGACACTACCCTCCGTACTGAGGAACTCCTCTTCAGGTGCCTGGGTTTTCCTTTTTTTTTTTTTTTTTTTTTTTGTATTTAGTACAGGGTCTGCAAGGTCTCACTGCATAGATGGAACTCATAGTAATCCTCCTGTTTTCAGCCTCCCAAGCACTGGGATTACAGGAGTGTGCCACCATGCCCAGTCTCAATTGCAGTCTCAGTGCACCCTGAGGGCAGGGCTGGCATGGCACACCGGGGATTGAACCTCATCCCTGCATCTGCCCAAGCAGGTGCTTTAATCCTCTGAGTTCCCTGGCTGGCCTTGGTTTTCCTTCTAAAGCTATTCATTTCTATACATCTTGGCTATGGGAAAATTGTATTCTTTGTTGTGGCAACATATGGATGATACACAATTGACCATCTTAGGCTTTTTTTTTTTTTTTTTTTTTTTTTTTTTGAGACAGGGTCTCACTATGTAGTACAGGTTGGACTTAAACTCACTTTGTAGCCCAGGCTGTCCTCAAACCTGTGGCCACCTTCCTGCTTCAGCTTCGCAAATTCTGGGATTACAGGTGTGCACCACAACATTTGGCCATTTTAGGGATTTGTAAGTGACATTAAGGACAGTTTCTCCTCTGTGCAACTGTCCCTTCCTTGAACTGTGGCTGCACCCCATTAAATGCTGGAACTGTGACTGCACCCCATTAAATGCTGGCTCCCTACCCCTGTCCTGACTCTGTGGATGGGATATCGTTGACCCCCCACACAGGGAAACTCTGAGCACAGTTTTCTGTGTCTGGGTTATTCCTCTTAGCATGATGTCCTTAAGGTCTGTAGAACCTCACACTGGAACATGAGTCAGGACTTCCTGCCTTCTGGATGAGACTTTCTGCTGTGGGAATGGCTGCATTTCAGCAGTCTTCACCCATGCAAACTGCCTTGGTTATGGCATCTTCTGCAGCTGCCTATGGAAGGCATGAACCCCACTCAGGTCCAGCTCTCATGACTTACTGTTGCAGGGCTGCTGGGTCACATGGTGACTCTTTTCTGAACATACCCTCAGAGCCACCCCACTGCCAGAATCATCCGACTCTGAGGTTGATCCTCTCTCACTGGCCAGACATGGGAACGGACATCAAGCTCTGCCTTCTTCACAGGCTTTCTCCTCACCAACATCCCTTGCCCTCAGCACTGTACTACTTTCTGGGCTCTTTTCAAGATGGCCCCTGCTGGCCTGGCTGCTTGGGGCCTCTGTCCAGGTCTGCATGCTCAACCTTACTGTGTGTGGGATGGGGACAGGAGAGACTCGCCCCTTAAGCTGTGCTCATTCATTCATGCACTCATGCGTGCATGCGTGCATGAGTTTGTTCACAAGCAGGGCTGAGCCCACCAGGAGCATAATTCTGTTCCAGACTTGGGACAGAGAGAGACAAAAGGGACAAAGCCACCTGCCCATCTGCAGAGCCTGAAGAGTAAACACAGAAAAGCTCTAGCCATTTGCATGGTGCACATCAAAGGTGATGGGAGAACACAGGGAGCAGGGGGCAGTAGGGTGAGGGATGTCCTGAGGCCTTGCTGTAGTGACATCTGTGGAGAGATGAGAAGGTGGAGAAGGTGGAAGAAAAGGACTGAGAAACAGTGGAGAGCCAAAGCAGCTGGAATAGGCAATGAGGCATCAGGCAAGAACAAAGAGGTGGCCAGGCAGGCCCCTTACAGAGAGATGAGCCCCTCTTCTGCTCCAGCAAGGACCCCTGAAAACTCTACCTTGGCTACCTGTGCATTGCTCAGCTGACCCAGGGGACGATGAAAGCTCAGTTCCCATGTCCCTCCTGTTTCACGGGGACCCAAGCACCCTAGTGGACCCCTGTGTGAGGGGAGTGTGTTCTGGGCACACAGCAGTTCCCTGATAGTGGTCTCCACTCTTGTATACCTTGAGATGAGGGTACAGCAGGGCAAAGCCTGGCTGGGCAGCACCCCAGCACAGGCTGGGTACCCAAGTGCTGCCCTGTGCCCCTGCTCCCTTCTCGCACTGCCCTCCTGCTCCACACTAGCCCAGGCCCAAACCCCAAACCAACAGGTTTCTCCAAGGCCCAGGCAATTCTGGGTACCACTGTGCCCTGATTTACCCTGACACTGGTGCCCCTGGATGTCTCCTACAATGTTGTCACTTCATAGATGGAGAAACTGAGGACCAGAGTGGTTGAAGAGCTTCCTCTAAGGCACACAGGTCAGAACAGGGGGATTGTAGCTTTGAATCTGGGAGCCTGTGGAACACCCTACCCCACACTATGGTCCCCCAGGACTGGCCAGGAGGACCCTCACAGGGCTTCCATTCCCTCACCAGGAGCCCTGCGAAGCCAGCCTTGTAAAAGCACTTTTATCTCTGAACGCTCTTTCATTGCCACCGCTCTTGATTGCCCAACACCCCACCTGTGCACGCTCCACCTGGGACAGGAAGCTGAGTCCTACAGACACCACATCTTGCAGCCAAGGCTTTCCTTTCCCACCAAGTTGTGGGGGTCCCTTGGAGTGTGGCTGGTTTGTTCTGGCTGCGAACAGCAAGGAAGAGGGCAAGGCAGTGCAACATGGTGTCAGGGTGTCCCAGGAGGGAGCAGCAGGAGAGCTGTCTCAGGCCCAGCTACACAGGTCAGCATCAAGGGCAGCTATGCAGAGATCAAATGACCCCTGTGCTGAGAGGAAGGGTGGCTGTTTGCGGGCCATTGTCAGACAGGTGGGCACCTCAGCAGTCCCCATCCGGCCACCACTGTGTCGTTTCCCCTATGAAGTCTTTTGTTTGGTCCTAAATAAATAAACTCTATTCTGTGGACTTTCCACTTCTACATCAAGGTCCTTCCCAGTTGAACTTGGGGATGAAGATTGTCATCCTGGCTGACTTTCTGCACATGCCGCTGGGCCAGATTATTTGGGCCAGGCAACTTCTCCAGTCTAGCTGCTTAGGGCAGGCTCAGTGCAATTCCTTTCCCAAGGATGTGCTGGGTAGTGAACGGGCCAATATTCTTTAACCTTCATAGCTGAATTCCCAATTCACTTCAACCTCTTACCCAAACCATTAACACCAGCTGCTGTTGCCTGGGACAAGGCTAAAGATCTTTTCCCAGTGTTGAGCACTGAACCAGAGCTTTACCCCTGGGATCCATCCCCAGCCCTTTTTATTATTTTTATTTTGAGACAGGCTCTTCCTAAGTCAGCGGGTTGTGTACACAGGGCTTGAACTTGCAATCCTCCTATCTCAGCCTCCTGGAGTGCTGGTGAAGAGCAGATCTATTTAAAGGAAAGTATTCTGCCAGCAGGAATCCTGGGGCAAGCAGTTGTGCCTCCACTATTCCAGAGCTGCCTGAATGGCTGACTTTGGGGCATTCAGTGGAGTCAATGCTTGTATCTTACTAAAGAGGCCAGAGAGCAGGTTTCTCCAGGCGGAGGCCATGCTCCAAGCCCACTTGAACACCTGGGAACTGGGCCTTTGGGTTCACTTCCGGACCAGGACACTGCCTCTGCAGGGCTCCTTGTGGCAATCTCTGTTTTTTCCCCAAGAATGAAGCAACAGACAGTTCCGACCGCATCTCACCTTGTGTTTTATCTGCGGCAAGATGTCCACCAGCGGTTGCAGGGCCTGGTGCGTGGTGCCCAGCTGCATCACAGACACATGGCCATCACATGGGGCAGTGACTGACAGGGCTCCCCTGGACGGGTCATGCACGAGGCCACTCTCCCGCAGCACACGGCGCCCTGCCCAGAGCCATTACCTCCAGGAAGACGGCAATCACAGCCAAGCCCTTCTCGCCCACTACTGCATCCTGGTAACTCTGGTACCGCATGGGATTCCAGTGAACTAAGTGTAGCTGAAATGGCAGAACGAGAATTCGACTGGGGTCCAATGCAGGCAGAACCGACTGTCCCTCTCCCTCTGTGTGGCTCTGTGCATCAGGCGCAGCCTAGGGGGCAGGAAACTCAGCACTGCATGCACAGGTGGCTAGAGCAGGGTGGCTACTGCTGGGAGAGAAAGAAAGGCATGATTTTAGCAGAGCAAAACAAAACAGGAACTGGGCAGGTGGTGCATGCTCACAGTCCCAACATTCTGGGAGACTGAGGCAAAAGGATTGTAAGCCTGAGGCCAGCCTGAGTGTTTTACTTTTAAAAAATTTAAAAAAGCGTGGGTAGATAGCGCAGCGCAAAGGCCTTAAGTTCATCTCCAGTGCCAAAAAAAGAAATAAAACAGAAACAAAAGCAGATAGTTGGTGGTTTGTCCCTCTTTGTTGCCCCCAAGTGAGGATGACAGGCAGAAACAGCCCAGAAGCAAGAGGTTCAGTAGGGTAGCTCTGTCCAGACCTGGCAGCTTTTCCTGAGCCTGGCACCTAGCTCTGACTTCCTCTAGGGTCCTTGTTTCACCATTTTCCCTGAGGTAAGAAAGGGGCCTGGGAATGTGGGCTCCAGGCAGGTAACAGGGGTTTAATGGGGCAAGTGAAGAAGGGCCAAGTCCCCTGTAGCCAGGAGACATTGGGAAGGATGCCGCATGTGCTGACCTAGACCCACAGCTTTCCTTGTCCACTCTTGGGAGGGCATACTGTGGCAGCCACTCATTCAGTGTTCCCAGAGTGCCAGGGGTCCAGGTCACCTAGCAGTGGCCACACATCTATGGGGGATGCTGCAGGGCTTGAGCAGCACCACCCTCCCCACCAGGGATGTGAGTGTCCCCATCCAGCCCTGCACTCGTCCAGGGAGGACTCTGGGGCCCCTGGAGTGGGGGGTTGGGGTGGAGGCTCTCTGAGCTGACTTGAGAGGCTGTTAGGGACCCTGAGTCTGTGCTTCATGAAGCACTTCACACCCAGAAGCCCCAAGTTCTTTCTGTGTCCTTGCAGGAGGGTTGGGCAGAAGAGTTAGGAGTTTGAGGCCAGGCTGGGTAACTTAAAAGACACAATCTCAAAAGAAAAAAAAAAGAAAAATGAAAAGGCATTCAGGGTGGTATCACATGCCTGTGACCCCAGACTCAGGAAGCTTAGGCAGAAGGATTGAAGTCAAGGCTAGCCTGGACTACAGAGTGACAGCCTGCCTCTAAATAAATAAATAAATAAATGTGAAAAGGGTTGGAGTTGTAGTTCAGTAGCATCCACAAGGCCTTGGGTATGACCTCCAGCTACACACACACACACACACACACACACACACCCCTTTACTGACCCATAATCAAGATCCCACAGCTCTGCGAGGCCATGGGGGACTCTCAGCCCTGTTCTCAGGCCTCAGGATACCTAGGCTCCCTGTGTCCAGTACAGGCCTGAGACCTTCTGCTTGAAGCCTGTTCCCTGCAGGGAAGGGAACACTTTTCACCCTGGTGAGCTGGGCACACCCACTGCCCACACAGCTGTGGTCCATTCACCTCAGCAGCAAAGGTGTGGCCGTCCACTGTGTGCTCAGAGCCCCGCATGTCCACAGCTCCCCAGTGGAAGTGGAACTGCTTCAGTCGGTAGTGGTTCTCCAGGGGCCCTCCACTGATCCCTGCAAACACAAGCGAGACATTAATCCTCTTGCTGCACCTGCACTTGTGTTTTTTTGTTTGTTTGTTTGTTTGTTTTTTAATAACTAAAGAACATTTATTTTCACTAAGACTTTTTCTTGAGGACATAACTAAACTTTGTCATCATCCCCTACCCCATCTTAAAAGATTAGTACAGTGAATGTTATAAAGCAGATAGGAACAATCTGAAGGACTGGAACCAATATCGACAAGGAACAAATGCCTTCTGAATCATAAAAATGTTTAAGTAAAAAAGAAAAAAAGAAAAAGTGTTCAATGGGGGTTTTGGATTGAGCAGATCCTCACACCTCACATTTCATCTAACGCATTCAATCCTGGCTAGAGTGAAACAAGTGAAAAGAGGCTCACAGGACAGCGCTCCACGGCAGTGCCCTGCACACACCTGCGCTCCAAGCTCCGCCCCCAGCCCCTGCTGTTTCCAACTCCATTATTTGCCAGCCTGTTGCGCCTGCCGACGAAGGAGCACGTAGAGCTTCTCTTTGATCCAGTCTTTGTTATAAGGCTGGTATGTCTGGGTATCAGCTCGGTAAACAAGGCAACTGAGGTCTGCCAGATCGTCAATAAAATCAAACAGCTGACTGATATCGTGTGTGATAGAGGGACTGTTGGGGTTCATTCTCTTCAGATGTTCTTCGTACATCTTACAAACACCTTCCATGCATTCATTAACAGATTCATAGTCAGCGTAAGTTCTGCCTTCTGGCCTCTTAGTAGGCTGCACCAGCAAAATAGTGTGAGGCATCTCGCCAAACCCTCTGCAGCTGCAAACGCCGACTCCACAAGTCACACACGAGGTCCTGCACTTGTGTTCTGACTTCTCTCCCCAGTGACAGGCTTGACTGTCCTGGCCACTGGTGTCCCCTGCATGCATTCACAATGAAGGCACGGATGAGTGCAGGTCCACACTCTGCCTCTAGGTGGCAGTAAGGATCCTTGCCACCCGTGGGTGGCCACACCATCACCCAGGCCTATTTCTGAGCTGCACTTTTTTTTTTTTTTTCCCCCAGAACTGGGGATTGAACTCAGACCTTTGTGCTTGCCAGGCAAGGGCTTATTCTACTGAACTATCTCTGAGCTACATCTGTAGGGATCTGTAGGGTCAGCCTTCAGCCTTCTGAGATCTCTCTCTCTCTCTCTCTCTCTCTCTCTCTCTCTCTCTCTCTCTCCCCCTCTCTCCCTCCCTCTTTTCTTTTTCATTTTGATCTTTTTGAAACACGGTCTTTCTATGCCATTCAGGCTGGCCTTGAGCTCACTTTGTAGCTCAGGCTAGCCTCAAACTCTCAATGACCCTCCTGTCTCAACCTCCTGAGTCTGGGGTCACAGGCACGTGATACCACACCTGGCTTTCAGAGCTTTCTTTAATTAAAAAAGGAAGTTTGAATTGAAAAAAAAAGATTAAACTATCACAGCATATAATTTAGCTCTCTAGGCTACAACAAGGGTTTATTTATTTATTTTTAAAATTTGTTTATTTATTTATTTATTTATTTATTTATTGTATATGTGTGTGTGTGGCCAGCTCAGCCCACCAGGGGGCGGGCTGGCTGGCATGTGGTGCTGGGGGATTGAACCGTGGTCCCTGTGCTTAGCTTAGCTTGTTCTAAGTAGGTGCTTTAGACCACTGAGCCATCTCAGCCCCACAACAAGGGTTTTAAATGGATGAGTTCGGAGCCAAGCACAAGGCCTTTCCATCTTGCTCTCCACAGCCCCTGCTCAGGGTGGGCTCACCACTGGGCTAGGTGTCTTATGGAGAACATTTCAGGTCTCCCCAACACTTACCATGGGTGTGGGCAGTCATTCCCTACCTGTAGGCTTGGCGTGGCTTTCTGGACAGGCCAGGTGCCCTCTTCAGGAAAGTTCAGTTGGCCTGACACATTCAGGCAAGGATACAATATCACCCCAGGTGTAGAGAAGTCTGGCTGCGCCATGCATTCAGAGATGCCCAGGTGCTGGCTCATGGCCATGTGGTCTGGCCTCCCCCACATCATTGTGAAGGGAGGCCATCTGCCAGCAGGGCCTACTTGTCCCCATTCAAAGCCCTATAGCAGGTGGCAAGGGGCAGAGTCCGAGTCTGTGTCAGGTGTTAAGCAGGTTTTACAGTCTGTGATTGATTGTACAAGATGACTACTGCCTTCTTCACACTTTACACAGGGATCTATTTGAATTTTATTTTATTTTTTTAAAAACATTTATGTGTGTGTGTGTGTGTGTGTGTGTGTGTGTGTGTGTGTGGCCAGCTCAGCCCACCAGGGGGCAGGGCTGGCTGGTATGTGGTGCTGGGGGATTGAACCACGGTCCCTGTGCTTTGCCAAGCTTGTTCCAAATAGGTGCTTTCGACCACTGAGCCATCTCACCAGCCCCTCTATTTGAATTTTAAAAGCCCCCAGTACTATCCCTCCCCCCAGTGAAGTACATGAGGCTTCAATAGATCTGACACCTGATTGGCCAGCAACTGGCTGTGCAGTGCTGTGGAGGAACCAGCACAAAGCCTGGCTGTGAGGAAGAGAGAGAGCCCAGCGAAGCGGGAGCCACACAGGACATGGTACAATTTTCCCTTGGGGAAGGTAATGCACCATGAGTCTGTGCTGTGGAAGAGGTGCCCACAATCCTGGAGATGTGGCCACGGAGGAAGGAATTTGAACCCAGGTCTGACACCAAAGCCCTGCTGCCTGCCCTGCTCTGTCTTCCACAGCATGAACCTGACCTAAGAACACTGCAGGACACGAGACGAGCATGTGGCTGTGTCAGTGCTAGTGTCAGCCTGCCACCCACCTCCCTGTGGCACTGGCAAGTCCCAAAGCCACTGTGGCACCAGAAGTCCCAGATTGGCCACAGAGGGGAAACTGCCCCTCAGCCTTGGGATGTACTTGTTCACAGCCTGGCACCCGTAGATGAACCCAGGCAGGCCTCTGCCACCTGCTCTGAGTTCGAGAAGGTCTGGATGTTGGAGGAGGGAGTGTCACTGCAGACCACTGCCCACCTGCAGAAATGGAGCTGCAGCCTCAGCCCCCTGCAGGTAAAGCCTTGTAGGTAGTCAGGGACACTGCCCAGGTGCTCCAAAGCTCTAAACTTCTGACGCCAAGCTAGTTCTGCACCCTGTGTGGACACAGCCTCTGACCCTGGAGCCAGTCCACCTTCCTTGGTGGGCACAGAGTGCCTGAGTGTATCAGTCAGGCTTTTACTAGAGGAACAGATATAACACAAGATGTACAAATGTGTAAGAAATCTCAAGATTGGCCTATGACAGTCAGCCAGAGTCTCATGAGGAGACATACAGAGGGCGTCTGTACACTGGAGACTGAAGGATTCAATCTAAGGTTTGGAGCTCACTGCAGTGTTTTGTGCAAATTCATATCAGGAGGCCCTTGGGTCTGCGATGGAAGGCAGATGAGTCTACACCAGAAGGCTAAGGGCCCGAGGCAGAGGCCCAAGGGTCTGTGCTGGAAGCCAGGGGTGGTAGCCAAGCTCTGAGGAAGTGGAAGTCTCTAGCTTTTCTCAGTTTTCTTTTATATCTTTTAAGTGATGAGTCACTCTGGGGTGGAATTGCTGAGCTAGTTAAGCTTTTAGCTTCTCAAGTTGACTCAGTGCATTAACCACTATATTGAGTGAGAGGATGGTGAGCCCTTTGGATCTTGAGTGCTGCCAGAGAGAAGAAGCGAGTGGTTTGTCCTTTGCATGTGGGTATAGGACTGCCCTGGGACAGTGAGCATGCTGGACTGGGGACCAAGAAGCTTTCAGAAAACCCAAAGAGCTGCAGTGGTGTGGATGAGTTGGGGAGCCCTCTTGCTCTCCCACGAGGGCCAGTAAAGGCAGGCCATGGACACCAGGCTGGGCTGTGGTGGGCTCCAGTGGTGAAGTGTGAACACTCCAGAAATCCTTGGCTATGGTTCACAGGGCTGGGGGCTCTTCTAACCCATGTGGGATCCACCAAAGCCTGCATTTTCCCATGATCTCGTGAGTCTGGCTTGCTCCAGAGCTTCTCTGTCTGGGGACAAGGGGGACCCTGGATACCTTTGAAGATGAAACAAAGATTCTCACAATGTCTCCTAAATTGGACCTCACAATGCAGCTGCAGGCAAAAGGCCACATGTTTATTTATTTAAGGACTGGAAAGCTGTGTTTATGGTCCTTCAGCAGGAAACATGGTGTGCAGTCAGGAGGGGTCTGACCTGGCACAAATAGTGTCCCTCTGTCACACTGCGTGACCCTGATCTAGGTATCTCATCCCTTCTATCCTCAGTTTCCCCACTGTAAAGTAGAAAGACTAATCCTAATACCCAGTTCTAGGTTAAATCTAAAAATGCCCCCAAATTCTCATGTGTGTGGAAGGTGATTCGGCAATGGAACACTGGTCATCAGCAGGTTGATCCGTGGATGTGTTTGTGGCTCATGTGCTGTTAGGAGGGGCTCTGGGTGGAGGTAGTCAGTGGAATGTGACCTGGAAGGGTGCATGTTTGCCCCCAGTCTTGCCTTGTTCTCTGCTTCCTGGCCGCCATGACACGAGCTGCTCTCCTGCACCAGGCCCCTTTGCCTCACTGTTCCTGCCTTGGAGCTGGCTGGCTATGGACTGAACCAAATCCACCTCTCCTCTACACTGTGGGTGCTGAATATCTGTCCCAGTGACTGAGACAGCACTGGCTGGGACCGCTGTAAAGATTATGTCAATAATAAAGGAAGCACTGCACCCTGCATGTAGGAAGCCCCAAGGAAAAGAATAGCCATGGAAGATGCATCTCTATGGGGCAAAGCATCTGCCCAGAACAAAGACCTGGTGGTTCAGAGTCTGGGGTCTGCACATGTGGATAATGCCTAGTGTAGACTGTGAGTGTGATCAAGTGGCAACATTTACCAAGTGCCTGCTGCAGGACACCGGGCTGTGTTCAGGAGCTTCCTGTTCTCCGAGAGATGGGCTCTTCATGCTCAACCTGCTGGGCAGAGCCAGGGGCCTAGCTCTGTGATCTGAGCAGAGACTCAGGGGTAAGGTCACCTGTCCTAGCCTACTGTAGGCCCCAGACCTCAGCTTTCATAGCAGGGTTCAAGTCAAATGCTCCCACTTTTCTTCTATAAATTCAGATAAAGTGATTTCTAATTGACTTTTAAAACTGACAATATGGTAACAGGGTAACTATTCTAATTGAAAAAGAGGCAAAGCTGAGCCCTCAGAGGGAGCCTGTTATAGCTAGACACAGCAGTGCACACCTGTAATCCCAGCATTGGGAGGCCAAGGCAGGAGGATCACAAGTTTGATCCTACTCTGGGTTTAGCAACTTAGCAAGACACTGTCTGAAAATATAGGAAGACAATAAAATACTAGACTACAGGTGCTGGCCAGTGTGAAGACTGTGGGTTTAATCTTGAGCATCAAGGAAAGAAAAAAGGCTCAGTAGTCTAAGCAGCTGCCTGGCAAGTACAAGGAGCCGGATTTGATGGCATCACATGCTGTGCTGGCCTTGGGTGCCATGCTGGCCACCCACAACCAGGTGTGGGGGTGTAACCCAGTAATTCCAATGCAAGACAGGAGGATTACTACAAGTCCAAGCTGTATAGCAAAACCCTGTACCAAATAAATTGTACATATATATATATATATATATATATATATATATATATATATAGAGAGAGAGAGAGAGAGAGAGAGAGAGAGAGAGAGAGAGAGAGAGAGAGAGAGAGAGAGAGGGGGCTGGAGAGATAGATAGCTCAGTGGCCTTAAGTGCCTGCCTGGCAAATGCAAGGTCCTGGGTTCAATCCCCAGTACCAAAGGAAAAAAAAAAAAAAAAAAAAAAAAAGGGATCTTCAGCATGGCAGCCCAGTTCCCAGAGGTTGCCACAGTGCATCCATGGTCACCCACTCTTGGAAATGTCACTGGGCCACAGCATCAGCAAGAGCCAGGCCATCCAAGGAAAACAACGGAGACCCTGAGGCTGCTCAACAGTGCTGGCCATCCCCCACGAGTCTCTGCTGTCACTACAACTGATGCCTCCTGACACCTGTTAGTAGCCCAGAGCCTATGCAGGGTCAGCAGCTCCTGGCAGGCCTGCAAGGAGGGCAGTGTTCTTGTTCTCCAGCACTGTAAATGACACTAACCATGCAGAGGAGTGCCTGTGGTCCTGCCTGGGGTCTGAGCTGGGAAACACAAACCACAGGGCCTGTGTGTTCTGGTCTGGGGAGGTCTCTGCAATCTCTCCCAGTGAGAGCTGCGGCCAGGCTGGCACCAGCCCACTGCCAATGCTGGGGGTAGGGGTTGCTTGGAGTCACACCGCACTGCCAGAGCCATCCAAGCCCCCAGCCCAAGACACCAAAGCACTTGAGCCTCCTATGCTCCTGGAGAGGACTCAGAGGTCACATGTCTGGCTCATGCTTGAGCCAGGCCAGTCTGAGCTCATGGTTCGGCTCAGCAGCTGCAGCTCTGCCCAGGCTGTGTGCCGTCTGAACCTTGGCCCTCATGCTGTGAAGGCTGTGAAGTCCGTGAAGTCCATGTCCCAGAGCAGGGCAGGGAGCCAATAGGGCTGGGGCTGGCTCCACAGAGGTTCCTGCATTACCCTTACACCAGCTGGGACTCTGGGTGAGGACCTCAGCAGATAAGTTGCCTTGTAGAAAACAACAAGCTCTGTCTTTTCTGTTGGTCATGTTGTCTGTCTCAAGCATCAGCTTGCCCCAACAACTTGTCCCGGGCTTGCCAGCCCCAAAGTTACCTGCTCAGAGCCAACCCTGGGAGCTGCAGCCCACAGATAGCTCCTCAGGAGCCGCGACTTCCTGTTCTCTGTGCCCCTTCATTCCACTGTGCCCTCAGTACCTCTCCCAAGAACAGCCAACAATGGGACCAATTGTGACCTCCCAGCAGGTGGGGAAAGGTCAGCTCCCTCCTGTGTTGGAATGAAGGTGCGGACCCCCCACCTGGTTCCACGTGTGCCTATTTGAGCATGTTTTCTTCTGCAGAAGAAAAACTAAGCCTGTCTCGTCCCAACGTCTTATTTTCTGAGTGCACTCTTTCCAACACCGACACACTGAGTCTAGAGTCTTATTCTCAACAGCGCTGTGAGGAATGACGTCTTACCAACCCTAGAACTAAAGGAGAGAAATCATCCCTTCACAAGTCCTTGCTGAGATCCTATGCGTGTCCCATGTGTACGTGGCACTGAGGAGAGTAGACATGTGGATAGAGACATGTGGGTCCTCCTCAAGCCTGGCTTTCCTGGGGACAGGACAGGAAACGTGCACACCAGTAATCATGGTGCTCAGGAGGCTGAGGCAGGAGGATCGCCACAAGGTCTGAAGCAGGACTTAAAAAGAAAAAGTTTCCCAAACTTCCTTCTCCCAATAGCTGTTGTTCTTTATTCTAATATAGATAAAAGTAGTTTATCCCTTTCCTCCCATTCCCATAATGTCCTGCTATGTCCAAGCAGGCGACCAAGATACAAAACTGCCACCAAGATACAAAACAACTTGATGAACTGTGTTTGTTCTCCTTTTGCCTGCCTGTAAGTTCCATGCTGAAGACCAACTCCCTTGACCAATGTGTAAAAGCTGGAGCCCATCCTTTGTCCATTGCTCAGCCATCTTGGAAGGAGGCCCATGGAGCCAGGTGTCCACCCAGTAAAATCCTCCTGTTTTTCTCCATTGGTCTCACTGAAGTCTTGGATTCTCCAACATTTCAAGGCCAGCATGGGCTACATAGCAAGTTCAATACCAGTCTGGGCTGCATAGTGAAACCCTGTCTCACCCCCCAATCCAAACTCCACAGAGCATGGGGCCAGCTGGGCTCTGGACACCCGCGGTGGCCTAAGACAGCAGGACCATGTCCTGCAGCTTGACATCAGCTGGAGGATTGCTTCTGGGATAGATGTAGATGAAGACAGCGCATGGCCTGCAAGTGGGAAGGGAGCAGTTCTACCAGGAAGAGCACCAGTGTCCCTAGTGGCCAGGTGTGGCATGTGTGGAACTCTAGAGTGTCCACATATAGGTGCTCTGGTCCCTCCACAGCCAGGGCAAGCACTCTTGTCCTCAGCCTCTGAGGACTGACCCTTCCCTGAGGCCTTGGCTGGGGTCAACCATCAAGGTCACTTGGAGGATGAGAGGCTGTGACGGGCGCTGCTTAGAAATGCTTATGACTCCATTTTGCCTCACACAGCAGGAATGCTGGTAGGCAAAGACCTCTGCACCACCGCTGAGGACTAGATCTGAGTCCCCACAGCTCCTTTTCCACAGTGGCCTCCTACACCAAGTCCTGGAACTGGCCCAGGCTTCCCACCTTTCTGCGTTGCCCCTGGTGATCAGAATCTTGAAGAGCATGAAGGCAGGCATGCAGGGTAAAGTGACTGGAGTCAGAGGCCACCTACCCATGCCAGCCAGGTAGTGTGCTGAGGGGCTGGGGAAAGCTGAGTTCTGCAGGGCTGCTGACCCTGTCCATCAGTCTGGCTCCCCCTCCTGCCATCTACCCTCTCCCCTGCTGTCCTCAGCCAGCCCTCTGGGGACAGAGAGGAGAGCCTAGCTAAAGCACTGGGTGGAGATAGCAGACACAGGGCACATGAGGTCCTGTAAGTACCAGCCTCAGCATGAATTCCCAAGGAGCCCCACTGTATATCACAGCCCCTCACCTCTGGGAGAGCTGACCTCACCCCAGAGCCACCCTGGCCTCCTGCTCATATCTGGCTCTGGCTCCTGGCACTTACCAGGAGGCACCACTAGACCCAGGTGAGCCTTTGGCCCAGAGGTGCCCCTTCCAGTTCAATTCTGGTCCTGCTGGGGCAGCTTCTCCTTCCTGCCCATCCAGGGCAATTTCCTGTCTTAAATGCACAGGACAATCTCATCTTCATTTTTCTGCTAAAAAAACAGTTCTAGTCCTCTCATCTTTCATTTGCCCTTTTTCACAACCAGTTTCCAACAGAGGAGTGTCCTGGCACAATGTCCTGCCTGCCTGCCTGCCTGCCTGGACCTCTGAGAGCATTGCCCAATCTGGGAGAGGTCATTTTTTCCAGTCTCCTCTGTGTCCTGCTCCAGGGCAGGGCCCTCCCCAGTCAGGTAGCAACTGGTCAGCATCACTATGAAGGGCTCCACCCAGGTGACCTTTGGGAACACCCAGCACCTGCCAGGATCATCAGGAGCTGTCGGGCACTGTCCTGACTTGCTGCTGAGAGACTGTGCTACACCTTTGGCAACATCCTTGCAGCCCATAGCCTGAATCCCAGCCTCTGGCCAATCCACATGGCTGCCGGCCCCAGATCTGTTCTGCTTAACCTAGTATGGGTTGGCTTTCTGTCCCAGGCCATAGAACAAAGTTTGAGTTAACCCAGTGAATTGCCTGCCAGACAGCAAAACCCAGACCTGGTGCCACAGGGCTGAACTGGCCCAGCCTGAGGGTGCAGATGTCTTCTAGCTCCACAAAGCTGCTACTTGGGGGTGGTATAGCACAGAGTCAAAGGTGGGCACCTCTGCCCACTGGTGTCATTCCCAGCTTTCCTGGCCTATTGGATGTTAGTTGAGAGAGATGGGGCTTTATCCCCTAGACTTGCGTGACCCTGGATAAGAGGCATCCTTTCTCCAATGGCTTCTGCTCCTGTTCCTGTGACCTCCACTGGCCTCTGGGCCCTCCTGCTCCCTGTCTCCATGTGGTGTCAGGAAGACTGTGTCCCCACTCTTGTCCCCTCACCACTGAGTCAGGGGCTTTTGTGGGACAGAAGAGGGGAAGGGCCTCGGCCCGTGTAGCTCACCCGAACCCTCAGCGGCCTCATCGAACTCCACCTGGCAGAGGTAGCCAGTGTTCCGCACATGTCGGCATGACGCTGCATCATAGGAGACCATGAGTGGTGGCAGCCCGGGGTCGTAGACACTGTCCCTTGGCTGGATGTTGATGGGAGACTGTCGGGTACCCCCAGGCATGGAGACCTGGCCTGTCCAACGGGGGTGCCCTGGGGACAGAGAGGAGAGCCTAGCTAAAGCACTGGGTGGAGATAGCAGACACAGGGCACATGAGGTCCTGCAAGTACCAGTTCAGGGGAAATAGAGGCCTCCAGACCACCTGGCGATAACTCCTAGGCATGTTCATGAACTCCTTTGTCCATGCCCCACTGTGGACCCTTTTGATTTGTTTTTATTTTTTGAGACAGGATTCTGCTATGTAGCCCTCGCTGACCTTGAACTCATGGCAATCCTCTGCCTCAGCCTCCCAAGTGTAATGATTATAGATATGTAGCACCATGCCCAGCCACTTCTTGGACCACTCTGAGACTGGGATTCTCTTTCCAGCCTGGAGCTGGGACTTGTGGTTTATATCTAAAATGTTCTCCAAATTCTCATATGTTTAGAACATGATTGAATCTTGGAGGCCCTGTACGCACCTATGGGATCATCAAGAATGAGTTTCTAGCTGACCGTGCTGTTGAGGAGGGTAGCTAGAGGATGTGGCCCGAAAGGCTGTGTCTCCCTCCCTGGTTCCATCATTAGTGCTTCCCACCATCAAGATGTGAGCAGCTTTGCTCTACCAGGCCTCTCTACTATGTTACTCCTCCTGCCTTGGAGCTGGCTGACCAGAGACTGAATCCACTAAATCCATGAGCCAAATTAACCTGCCCTCCTTCATGTTGTGTCAGGTATTTTGTCCTGGCAATAGGAAAGTGAACTAATTACCCCCTGGACTGTGGTGGTGGTGAGATTTTGACTTCTGTGGGGTCCTTGCCCAGAGTGAGGCCAGAGAAGGCCCAGCAGAGACTGGTGATGTGGGTAGAGGAGGGTGGTTGGTGGGGGCAGGGCCGAGGGGTCAGCAGGGCTCCTGTGGGAAGGATGGAGAGCTCTTCCAGTCACCTAGATTCCAGGGAACAGCACAGAGCCTTCATTCTGCTGCCTTCTTGGTGCACCCCAATCCTGAGGGAGGGTGATTATGAGAGTAGATATAGGCCTCAGAGGATCTCAGAAGAGGTGTGGGAGAACAAGAAGTGAGTAGGAGCTGCACCCCCGGTGGAGAGGTCCAGGCTGCAAATGTGCTCGTGTGAAGACAGAAGAGAATTATGGATTGAGATTGGGGTCTGCTGTCACCTCTGCAATGTGAGAACCTTTTCCTTTCATGCTGAGAATGTGTCCTGCAGAGTGACAATGTCCTTTCCGGCAGGTCGTTTCCTTCCTCCTCTTCCTTCTTCTCTGTTTTCTCTCTCTATGCCTTCTTTTCTCTTTCTCCCACCCTTCCTTCCTTTTTCCTTGGCAGTGCCCAGGATGGGACTCAGGCCCCCTCCCCCTCCGGGCCTGCAGCTCTCCCAGCCAGCCGTGTCACCACTGCATCACTTACACCACACTTTCAGAAACCAGTTTTTTAGTGGCGTTTGGGTTCATTGAACTTTTTGCGATTGTACAGAGTTGTGAAGCTTCTATAGCAGCTCTGCACACTGGACTGGATGGTTTCCTTCTTATAAATGCCCAGCCACAGAAGGGCCATGTACAGAGTATGTTTTCAAACTTTTATGAATAAAGAACCAAGAATTTCTTCTGTGTCACCCTGACAGTCTAACAGTCAGAGTCACTCTGTGTTCCGGTCGTTAACAAACATTACACATTGCTTTTAGGAGATGTTATTTAAGCAAGCCAACAGCTCAGTAAAATGTACAATTGTCCATCTTCATGGTTGTGCCTGGAAACTATAGCTGTTGGTCAGTGTTGTCTCTCCAGAGCAGAATGTAAGTGAGGGCTGTGCCCATACTTCAACAGGGACAGATACACTGCATGTGTGTTGAACAGATAATCCTTGGTGTGCACAAACACTGCTGCCCCCACATTCAGGAGAACACAGCGGGCTAAAACGGTAGGCTCGTTGTTCAGGGCCTCTTGTGGGGCCAGCATCCACCTTCCAAATGCATGCCCTGCGTGACCATCACTGCTCTCACGTCGCCCAGGCCTCCAGTCTTTCTCTGTTCTTTGCAGACAGTGGGCATGACCCAAAAACCCTCTCCCCTGTGCTGAGAACTGAAGCTCCACCATCAGAATCACATCTGGTTTCCCTCATGAGACAGATGTGTCACAAGGCTGGCTGTGTAAATGGGTGAAGCTGTAGGGGATGCGTAGCCTCCTGAGGGACAGGAAGGTGATGGCAGGGGCGGGAACCTGCCCCTTTATCTCTTTCAGGGGACAGATGTGTATCAGTTCCTGCTCTGGTTTGGGTCCCGGGCAAGGATGCCGGGTCACATACAGGTCAGGATCATGTCTGCTCAGGGCAGCAGCAGCTCCCCTGTATCCAACAGATGTTCTTCTCCACACGAAGGCTGATTAAGACTTGAAAGCCAGAGGCTGTATGGTCGCACACACCTGTAACTCCAGCACTTAGGCTGAGGCAGGAGACTTACTTTGTGTTTGAGACCAGTCCAGGCTACATAGCCCGACCCTGTCTCCAAAGAATAAAACAAGACAAAACAATGCTTGACAGCTAGCCAGGTCCATGGTGTTACATGCTTATAATCCCAGCACTCTGGGTGGCTGTAGAGTCCAAAGTTCAGCACAGCCTTGGGGATTTAGTGACAATTTATCTTAAAATAAAAAACAAAAATAAAAAGCAGTGGAGATAGAGCTTAGTGGAAGGCCTTAAGATCACTCCCAGAAACTCCCATGAGAAGCCACCGTGCCAGGCCCTGTTTCCCAGGCATCCTGGTTTCCCCTGGTTCCCACTCCCAGAGTCCCATGGAGCTGGCACTAATTCACAAACACTGCTGGGGTGAGATTGGGCGCAGTCTGCATGCTACTCTCCCAGTAGGCTGTTAGTGTGTCGCACAAACCCTGATTGAGACCAAACCCAGCAGCCAGGCAATGAGCCAGAGGCCATCCAGCTGGCAGCCCTCCCCAGCTTGGCAATACCAGGTGTGGGAAGAATAGACATTTCTAGGTCTCTTGCTGCATGCAAGAGACCACCAGTGGTGAGACATCTGTGCAAGCCATGGCATCTGCCCCAGATGGAAGGATAGTGCTCAGGGCTGTGTTCAGGGAGCTGATGCCACCTGGATATGGAGCAGGCTTCAGGTTCCCAAGGCATCTCCACCAGCGAAGCCAGGTAAGTCCCGTGCTAACCAAGGTGGCTCCCTCAGGGTGTGCATGTCCCCTGCGGGGCCAAGTGTGCGGTCCTCAGCTGGAGCAGGTTCTGGGCTACCCAGCTGGGAGTGCACAGAGCAGCATTCACACGGCAGTGCTGTCTGTAGTGCTGGAAACCCACGCCGCATCACGCCTCCCACAAGGGCAGCGCCGCTTGATCCAGGTGCTCCTGGCCCTGGACTGCCACCAGTGCCAGCCCAGTAGCCAGTTGGTCTCCTGTATGCAGCAGTGTTGTGCGCCCTTTTTCAGAGGACAAGGCTAAAGTGAGATCCAGTTGGGACCCTTGCTGAAGGACATGCAGTCACACAAAGACAGCACCAGGGTTTGAGCCAGGTGTCCTCAAGTTTTTGGTGGTTCTGAGCATAAAAGAGGGCTGGGCATGAAGATGTCTACTTTCCAGCCAGTGGGCACTAGACTGGTCTACAGGGAGACACACCTCTCTGTACTCAAGGAAGGTACATGGAGGGCCACACCCAAGCTGTTGCAGCATTGCTTCTGGGCTTCAACTTGGGGACTGTACACTGGTGAGTCCCCGCTGGGTGGTCTGGAGCCTAAGGCAAGTATTGAGGTGGGGCCTGAGATGAGGCAGCTGCCTGGGAATCTCACAGGGGTGTCCTTGTGCCTGGAGGACGGCAAGGAAGGGTACAGTGGAGGAGGTAGGAAGCTTCTGGCCCAGGCTCTAAAATGTGGGCTGGGTGTTTTGTTCCCCACTCTGTGTGAATCCCTGGAGGATCCTCTGGCTTCTGTGACAGAGCCTCCAGCCTCCTGTGGTTGGAGCAGCTCCTCACTACATTGTCTCTGCCAGGCCACACCACCAGTTGGGCACAGTGTTCCTTGTCCCCCCAGGCCATCTGCCTGCCCCTCACAGGCCTGAGTGCCTGCCCAGCAACAGCCAGCACAGAGCCCAGGGGTGTTCACACCAGCAGCCATTGTGCCTGGTGGGGCCTGAGAAGGGCATCCTGAGAGCCTGTCATGGGCCACAGGCTCCCCACACGCATCCAGGGCACACGCCTGTGGGCCCCAGAGGCAACGTTTGGTTATACCGCCCCATCCTGGGATGAGGAAAGTGAGGCCAGGCAGGCAGGGTGCTGGGCTGAGCATTCCCTTCTCCTTGGTCGCCAGTATCCATGCCCGGTGGGTCTTCTCCAGAGCCCACAAGCTTGGAAGTGGGGGTATCAAGCCAGGTCCGCGTCCAGCAGCCATGGGCAAACTGGCTACTCACCCAGCCCCAGGACCCAGGACCCAGAAAGCTGAGGCTAAATGACCTCCTCCAGGTCACCCCAAGCCAAAAGTAGCCGAGGGGAGTCCTGAGCCCACACTACTGCCTCATTATCGGCTCTCAAATTCATGCTAGAAACTGTACAAGCATCAGACAGCACCAGGGCATGGGGCTCTACTCACAAGTGCTGCTCCTGCGGCTCTGCATGCAGGTCTGCTGGGGACAAGGCCACTCCGGCCCCACTTCGGGACCTGGGGGAACCCCCCACATCCACCTGAATAGGAAGGGGGCGCTGGAGGGCTTATAGGGGCCCTTCCCCAGCACCATGGCCCTGAACATCTGGGTGGGCTCCTTGTCTAACAGGGTGACGTGTCTTGCTGTCTGCCACACCTGGTCAGCAGAGCTTCAAGGTGCAGTGTACCCCACTTTGGAGAAATTCACCTGAACCCTTGAGCCCCATGGTTAAATTTCAACCCATGCCTGTCTCAGTATGTGTGAGGATGTTTGGTTTGGCTTGGGGTAGGTACATGGGGGACAGCAGTCTTCACCAGGGACAGGCCACTTGCGTCACAGTGCTTCAATCTGGTAAACAGATTTGGGAGCTGCCCTGAATCAAGGGGCGGGTTGCAAAGGAGAGGTAAAGTTCCTGTACCCTGCTGTTGGCCCTATGGTTTGGGACATGGGACACTCGAGGGCAGGATGGGACTAACTGAGCGCCCTGGGAGGATGGCCAGTGGTGGGCATCCATGGTGTGAGGTCTTCACCTGATCACCCAGAGGCCTGCAGAGAGCAGACTGGCCTCCCGGAGCGAGAGTCATAGTCAGCTGCAGCTGCAGACCTGTGAGCCTCCCCTCCTCACTTCGCACACTTGGGCAGCATCACAAGAGGACAGCATCTGTCATGGAGGCTCAATCTCACTTCCAAGTGAGAAGGCCAGAGTTCAGGCTTCGGCCTATGTGCCTACTTACCCATATCCATAGCTAAACCCCAATGTGTACCAGATTTATTTTTTTCTAAGCTGAAGTTTGAGTAACCTGGACAATGCTTCAAAGGCAGAAAGAAGAGACTGAAATTTCCTCTTTTCTTTCTCCTCTGTTAAAATGCTGTTTCCTTGTGTTTGTAAAGCACACAACACATGTGGGCAGCACACAGAGACCCCTTCCTGGTAATCACAGTGTGCAGAACTGCTAGCCGAGGAACTCTTGTTTTGGGAGCCCCCAAACTTTCTGAATTACCTGCTCCTGGAGGGCTTAATTTTCACATGATAGAAACGCACCTGGATGCTTTCCTGAGACTTGACCATCCTAATCTGAGATGCATACCCAGAAAAGTTGACTTTAAAAGAGAAACAAGAAAAAAAAAAAAAAAAAAAGAGGGAGAGAAGCAAGAGGAATGTGTGTTGGACAGAAACCTTGAAGACACAGATGTCTCTGCAGGGCCTGTGAACACTCACTTTTCATTGGGGTCTTTTTAGTCTTTTTATTTTTCTAATGATGTGATTGAACCCAGGGCCTTATGCATGCTAAGCAAGTGTTCTATCACTAAACCACATCTCTAGCCCTTTTCATATCTTCTTCTTCTTCTTCTTCTTCTTCTTCTTCTTCTTCTTCTTCTTCTTCTTCTTCTTCTTCTTCTTCTTCTTCTTCTTCTTC